AGGCATGAGCCACCACGCCCGGCCTTTATATATTTTTTTAAAGGTAATTTTAAATTTTAAGTGGTGATCATGAAAGGGCACGTCATGTTCAAATTTTCTTTTCAAGTACGTACAAATCCCAACGAGCTGATGAGCGATAACACTTGTCCTGGGGTTCTTGAATAATCTTGTCTAGGTTTCGCCATTGATGGTGTTGTAAGGATATCCATCATATTAATATCTATATATGCAAAGAAAAATATATAAATTAATTAAAAACCTTTACCTCCCATTGACTAAAAATGAATGTTATATATATGGCAACAATAAATTTTTTGTAAACCAAATGTTAAAAAAGGAGACGGTGGCCGGGCGCGCTGGCTCAGGCCTGTTACGCCAGCACCTTGGGAGGCTGAGGCAGATGGATCACTTGAGGTCAGGCGTTCGAGACCAGCCTGGCCAACATGGTAAAACCCTGTCTCTACTAAAAATACAAAAATTAGCTGGTCGTAGTAGTGGGCACCTGTAATCTCAGCTACTCGGGAAGCTGAGGCAGGAGCATCACTTGAACCCGGGAGGCAGAGGTTGCAGTGAGCCAAGATTGCACTACTGCACTCCAACCAGGGCGACAGAGCAAAACTCTGTCTCAAAAACTAAATAAATAAATAAGGAGATGGTATGGAATCAATATTAATTTTGGGCCCCTCATGTTAGCTAATATGTTTAAGCCTAGGTCAAGATAGAAACTGACCCAGATTGTTAGCATGTTTCAGTGCATAGTATTTTAAAAGAATTCAACAATGACACATAATACTATACTATTCCACTTAGATATAAAAAATAGTAAGAGAAGTCTAATGTTCTTATCCAGGCGTGGTGGCTCACACCTGTAATCCTAGCACTTTGGGAAGCCAAACGGAGAGGATCCCATGAGCCCAGGAGTTTGAAACCAGCTTGGGCAACAAGACAGAGTGATAGAGTGAGACTTATCTCTACAATTTAAAAACTAGCTGGGTATTACAGCAAGCACCTGTGTAGCCCCAGCTACTGGGGAGGCCGAGGTGGAAGAACTGCTTTTCCCAGGAGTTCGAGGCTATAGTGAGCTATGATCACATCACTGCACTCCAGCCTGGGTAATACAGTGAGGCCCTGTCTCTTAAACAAACAGACAAAAAATAATCCAAGAACTCTAATGTTCTTATATGATACAGGACTTTTTAAAATTAGCTGGGTGTGGTGGCTCATGCCTGCAGTCCTAACTACTCGGAAGGCTGAGGCAAGAGAATAGCTTGAGCCTGGGAGGCAAAGGTTGTAGTGAGCCGAGATCACGCCACTGTCCTCCAGCCTGGGTGATAGAGCAAGACTGTGTCTCAAAATAAATAAATTAACGAATGAATAGGCCAGGCGCGGTGGCTCACGCCTGTAATCCCTACACTTTGGGAGGCTGGGGTGGGTGGATCATGAGGTCAGGAGATCGAGACCATCCTGGCTAACACGGTGAAACCCCATCTCTACTAAAAATAAAAAAATTAGCCAGGCATGGTGGCGGGTCCCTGTAGTCCCAGCTACTCGGAGCCTGAGGCAGGAGAATGGCGTGATCTCAGGAGGGAGAGCTTGCAGTGAGCCGAGATCGTGCCACTGTACTCTAGCATTCCAGCCCAGGCAACAGAGCACGACTCCATCTCAAAAAAATAATAATAATAATAATAAAATAAATAAATGAAAGTATACTGAAAGTTTTAACAACAAATTTCATTTATGCCTCACATTGATGAAGTGATAAGAATAATAATAATACACATATAGGATATTTTACAAAAAAATTTTTATTAAAATTAGACCCTTATGATATACAAAGTGACTTAAATTTATCAACAATTTTATCTTAATGCAAATTTTTTGTCCTTTGTGATATTTTCCAATAGCTTATCTGAAATCGTTAGGATCAGATTTCAAACTAAGATTTCAAAGTCAGATTTCTTTGAAATCACAATTAAAAAATGTTGATTTCAGAAAAGTAATGTGGTAAATATACTGCATATTATGAAATATCCCTAGTGGCAAATCATATGAATAATCACATGAACTGGGATCAATAGACTGTAAATACCCCTGGCTAGGCACGGTGGTTCATGCCTGTAATCCTAGCGCTTTGGGAGGCTGAGGCAGGTGAACCATCTGAGGTCAGGAGTTTGAGACCAGCCTGCCCAACGTGGTGAAACTTCGTCTCTACTAAAAGAAAAAAATTAGCTGGGCGTGGTGGTGGGTGCCTATAATCCCAGCTACTCAGAAGGCTGAGGCAGGAGAACTGCTTGAACCTGGGAGGTAGATGTTGCAGTGAGCCGAGATCATGCCATTGAACTCCAGCCTGGGAAACAGCAAAAACCCCATCTCAAAACAAACAAACGAAAGACCATAAATACCCCTACATCAGCATAGATCAGATTTTATCAAACTTAGTAAAAAGTTTTAGGTGTTCATAACTGTTGAACTTTGTACTTCCACATGAAAAACTGTAGATCTGCATATATTTTCAAATACTAATAGTTATAATTCCAGAGTTTATAAGTCCAATTTCTGGTTATTTTCATTATTAATACTTTCCCATCCATGTACCCTTTCTAATAGAGAATACAATATGTTTTTTTTTTTGAGATGCAGTCTCACTCTGTCCCCCCAGGCCAGAGTGCAGTGTCACGATCTTGGCTCACTGCAAGCTCCGCCTCCCAGTTTCAAGCAATTCTCCTGCCTCAGCCTACTAAGTAGCTGGGACTACAGGCGCGTGCCACCACGCCAAGCTGATTTTTGTACTTGTAGTAGAGATGGGGTTTTGCCACGTTGGCTAGGTTGGTCTCCAACTCCTGACCTCAGGTGATCTGCCTGCCTCGGTCTCCCAAAGTGCTGAGATTACACACATGAGCCACCATGCCTGGCCTGTTGGATGTTTTAAAAAGGTACTTACTCGGTATTTTTCTTACCTCTATTCAAAGTAACTTTTGAAAGGCCGAAATCCGTCAGTTTAATATGACCCTCATTAGAAATAAGCATATTGTCCGGTTTCAAGTCCCTGCACACATAAAAGGCAAATAGTAGATAACCAAAAAAGGGCTAGTTTTAATGTTAGAATTTCCAGAAAGAAAGTTACAAAGGAGGCAAGCCCTATTTATTTCCTCCAAAATAAAGATGTCACTGATGGCTTTGAAAAGTACAGAAAACATCTCCTAAAAGCAAAACATCTTTTGTACCATTTATCAGAATCGACAAAAAAGATAAATTAATACTAGATTATTTTTGGTATCATTGGTTAGATATTCCATTAAAATAAAGAAACCTTATTAGATAAAATCAATCTCAAGCCAGTTCAAATTTATATTTACCATTTACCTTCTTTTTTTTCTTTTCTTTTTTTTTTTTTGATGGAGTTTCACTCTTGTCACCCAGGCTGGAGTGCAATGGCATAATCTCAGCTAACTGCAACCTCCGCCTCCTGGATTCAAGCAATTCTCCTGTCTCAGCCTCCTGAGTAGCTGGGATTACAGCCATCCACCACTACACTCGGCTAATTTTTGTATTTTTAGTAGAGAAAAGGTTTCACCATGTTGTCCAGGCCGGTCTCGAACTCCCGACCTCAGGTGATCCACCCACCTCAGCCTCCCAAAATGCTGGGATTATAGACATGAGCTACTGCACCTGGCCTACCTACATTTACCTTCTTAAAGGAAGGTACGATTGAGATTTAATAAGTCACTTAATCTGACTTTCTTTGCATAGAGAAAAACACTGTAAATCAGTTGGACTACAAAATACAGCACTTTTGTATAATGCAGAGCAGCAGAAAGGATTCAATACTCTTCACATAAAATGCCATACTTAGTGGGGCGTGGTAGCTCATGCCTGTAATTGTAGCATTTTGGGAGGCTGAGGTGGGAGGATCCCTTGAGCCCAGGAGTTAAAGAGCAGCCTGGGAACCTTGTCTCTAAACACACACACACACAAAGCCAGGAGTAATGGCATATGCCTCTGGTCCCAGACACTTGGGAGGCTAAGGCAGGGGGATTGCTTGAGCCCCAGAGGTCGAGGCTGTAGTGAGCCAAGATCAAGCCGCTGCACTCCACAACCTGGGTGACAAAGTGAGACCCTGTCTCAACAAAGAAAAAGATAAATAAAAATGTAAATAAATACAAAAATAAATAAATACATGCTATACTCATGTTCAAAGCAATATATTTTTGAAAACACAGGGAGATGAAAGAAGAGTTAATTTCTAAACGAATACAAGTTACTAGTAAACTTTAGTAACCTGGAAGTAAGTGCAAGTGGTTACCGTGAATATTTGAGACTCAAATATATAATTTGATTACTTGAATTTTTAAGTAATAATTTGGAGAAAAGTTGGTCTTTACCTGTGGATGATTCCATGTCTGTGAAGGTAGTCTAGAGCCAGTGCTACTTCAGAAATATATTTCACAGCCATCTCTTCATCAAAATAACCATATATATGTAGGAGAGACTTGACATCTCCCCCAATGAGATATTCCATTACCTATCAAAAAAGAATTTAATATTGTGAAATAAAAACAATATGATTACTTTAAAAATCTAGTATTTGGGCATTACAGTTACAATATTTGGCATGGTTCTGTAACAAAACTACCTTTTCTTGCCATTACTTGTAATACATTAATACTAGGTTTATTCATGTTGCCATATAGTTTTTAATTAAAAATTAAACTGTTTAGGCTGGGCACAGTGGCTCACACCTATAATCTCAGCACTTTTGGGAGGCCAAGATGGGCAGATCACTTGAGGCCAGGAGTTCGAGAATAGGCTGGCTGTTCTCGAAATAGCGAAACCCCGTCTCTACTAAAATATAAAAATTAAGCTGGGCCTGGTGGCACATGCCTTTAATCTCAGCTACTTGGGAGGTTGAGGCACGAGAATTGCTTGAACCCAGGAGGCACAGGGTGGCCAAGATTGCGCCACTGCAGTCCAGCCTGGGCAACGGAGGGAGACTCTATCTCAGGTTGGGGTGCAGTTATGTGCAATGGTATCTCTATTAGCTAGCTGCACACTACCATGCCAGCTAATTTTTATTTTAATTTTTTTGTAGAGATGGAGTCTCATCCCCAAGTTGGTCTTGGACTCTTGGCTTCAAGTGATCCTCCTGTCTCAGCATCTCGAAGTGCTTGAATTACAGGTGTGAGCCACGGCCCCTGGCCTTTGTCTCTGTGTATATATACATACACATACACACACACCATATGTATCGGGAGAACCTGCTCCCGATGTTTACCATGGGTTCTTTTCTATTTCCTAAGTGTCTCAGCTGGGTTGAGAAATAAAGGGAAAGAGCACAAGAGAGAGAAATTTAAAACTGGGTGTCCAGGGGAGACATCACATGTCGGCAGGATCCAGCAAGTTTTTATTAGCGATTTTCAAAAGGGGAGGGAGTGCACGAATAGGGTGTGGGTCACAGAGATCACATACTTCACAAGGTAATAAAATATCACAAAGCAGATCACAGGACCACTGGATGAGGTAAAATTAAAATCGCTAATGAAGTTTCGGGCACGCCTTGTCATTGATAACATCTTATCAGGAAACAGGGTTTGAGAGCAGATAATCTGTCTGACCACAATTTATTAGGTGGGAATTTTCTCATCCTAATAAGCCTAGGAGCACTATAGGAGACCTGGGCTTATTTCATCCCCTCGGCCCTTTGACCAGAAAAGACCGGATGCCTTAAAAAGGGGCGATGCCTTAAAAAGGGGCCGTCTATAGGCCTACCTTCAGGGCACATTCTCTTTCTCCGGGATGTTCCTTGCTGAGAAAAAGAAATCAGAGATATTTCTCCTATTTGCTTATGAAAGAGGAGGAATATAGCTCTGTTCCGTCCGCTCACCGGCGGCCAGTTCAAAGTTACCACTCTTGTTCCCAGTTCAAAGTTACCTCTCTTGTTCCCTGAACATCGCTGTTATCCTGTTCTTTTTTTAAGATGCCCAGATTTCATATTCAAACACACATGCTCTACAATTTGTGCAGTTGACACAATCACAGGGTACTGAGGCGACATTCATCCTCCTTAACTTACAAAGAAGATGACGGGATTAAGAGATTAAAGTAAAGACAGGATTAGGAAATTACAAGGATATTCATTGGGGAAGTGATAAGTGTCCATGAAATCTTCACAATTTATGTTCAGAGATTACAGTAAAGACAGGTGTAAGAAATTATAAAAGTATTAATTTGGGGAACTAATAAATGTCCATGAAAACCTCAAAATTTATGTTCTTCTGCTGCGGCTTTAGCGGGTGCCTCCGTTCGTGGTCCCTGACTTCCCGCAACACATATGCATATATCCTATTGGTTCTTTTTCTTTGGAGAACTCTAACTAATATAACAGGTAAATTTGCCAAGGTAGTGAGTGCAGCCAGAATTCAAATGCAAGTACTCTGAATCCAGACATGGTTCTCTTAAATCACTGGGTCCACTGACTGCTGAATGGATAAAGAAACAAAGTAAAAATTATTTACTCACCAAGTAGACATTGTTTGCAGACTGCAGTGAATAATACAAATGGACAATGAATGGGCTTTTGCTTAGTGCCAGTGCATCTCTCTCAGCTTGGACCTGATGAGTCATATTTTTGTTGATCATGTCTGCTTTTTTAACAACCTGTAATAGATAAAATAAAAATGATATGTTATTTTATTCTGAGACAGAGTCTCCGTCTCTTACCCAGGCTGAGTGCAGTGGCATGATCAAGGCTTACTGCAGCCTTGATTTCCCAGGCTCAAGTTATTCTCCCACCTCAGCCTCCCAAGTAGCTGGGACTACAGGCACGCATCACTACATCTGGCTACTTTATGTTTTTGTAGAGACAAGGTCTCACTATGTTGCCCAGGTCGGCCTAAAATGAGCCTCAAGCAATACCCCTGTCAAAGTGCTGGGATTACAGGTGTGAGTCACAGCTCCCTGCCTTTTTTTTAAATTACAGAGTGATCTCTGTCGGGTGGGGTGGCTCACGCCTGTAATCCTAGCACTTTGGGAGGCTGAGGCAGGTGGATCACGAGGTCAGGAGATCAAGACCATCCTGGCTAACATGGTGAAACCGTCTCTACTGAAAATACAAAAAAAAAATTAGCCAGGCATGGTGGCGGGTGCCTGTGGTCCCAGTTACTCGGGAGTCTGAGGCAGAATGGCGTGAACCTGGGAGGCGGGGATTGCAGTGAGCCGAGATCGTGCCACTGCACTCCAGCCTGGGCGACAGAGCGAGACTCCGTCTCAAAAAAAAAAAAAAAAAAAAAATTACAGAGTGATCTCAGGTTTCAAAGTTACCATCATAAAAACACGAACAGAGAGAACACATATAGATGTCATGTGGACTCGCACTGCTATCAGGAAACCACGTACAAAAAATAGTTAAGACAGTTTTAAAAAAAATCTTCAAGATAGAATTCCTTATCTTGGTATTAAATGGCAGAAGTATCACAATCTCTTTAGAGAAGGAAAAAAAATTAAACAAATGCTCCCAGACTGCCCTGCATATTAATAGAAAAAAAATTCTGTTCCACTGTTCTGATAGCAAAGTCAAAAGATAGTTACATTCTTCATAAGCCCACAGATAACTAGGACCTGGGCGTGGAGTTAACTACTTAATTTTTTTTTTTTTTAACTTCTGATTCTTTGATAGATGGGAATAGAATCAGAAAGAGGAATAATGTCGGAAGTTTGCCTATGAAAAAAAATCTTAAGCTGGAACGGTTAGAACTTCAAGTTTCAAGGTAATCTGTACAGAAACCGAACTATTAAATTTGGAACACTAAAAAAAATTAAAGGCCAGGTGCGGTGGCTCACGCCTGTAATCCCACACTTTAGGAGGTCGAGGCGGACGGATTACGAGGTCAGGAGATCGAGACCACAGTGAAACCCAGTCTCTACTAAAAATACAAAAAATTAGCCTGGCATGGTGGCAGGTGCCTGTAGTCCCAGCTACTCGGGAGGCTGAGGCTGGAGAATGGCGTGAACCCAGGACGTGAAGCTTGCAGTGAGCCGAGATCATGCCACTGCACTCCAGCCTGGGGCGACAGAGCAAGACTTCTGTCTCAAAATAAATAAATAAATTAACAAATAAATAATACATAAATAAATAAAAATAAAGTTGGAACACTAAACTGAATAGTCAGTAACACTGGGATCAATTCTCAGAACTGCTACAAGAAAAAAAAAGGCATATTTCTTTCAAAGATTAGAGTACTTAATAAAATCATTAATACATTATAAATTCCTGCCTTAACTCCTTTCTTTAAGAAAACTGAGGGAAACTGACAAAGCAAGTCGGTAACATGATTTTTCCTATCATTTCACTGGCTATGAGGGCATGCTTGTTTTGTTCTCCATTGTTGTCCAGTTCTTAGACACGAAGAGGGTGGGTGCTAAGCAAATACTGATTAAACACATGGATTGGTGTTTTCGTTTCAACAACTGATCATCACTGAGTACTGTAGAAGGAAAAGCAAAAATCTCAGGAACATATAAAGTAACCAATTCAATGAGATGGGTCTGAAAGATCAGGGAAGGTTTGAAGGGGAGCTAAGATGAATCGTAATACATGAATAAGACAGGTGGAGAATAGCAGAAAAGGGTGGAAGAAAAGCACTTAAAAAGGAGTCAGCATAAGGCCAGGCACAGTGGCTCACACCTGTAATCCCAGCACTTTGGGAGGCCGAGCCAGGCGGATCACCTGAGGTCAGGAGTTTCAGACCGGCCTAACCAGCATGGAGAAACCCTGTCTCTAATAAAAATACAAAATTAGTCAGGTGTGGTGGTGCATGCCTGTAATCTCAGCTACTCAGGCTGAGTCAGGAGAATCGCTTGAACCTGGGAGGCGGAGGTTGCGGTGAGCTGCGATCACACCATTGCACTCTAGCCTGGGCAATGAGAGCGAAACTCTGTCTCCAAAAAAAAAAAAGAAAGAACGAGCATAAACATAAGCACAGAAGCAAGAAAATACACAGCATTTAGAGAGTAGCCAATTGTCTGCTGAGGCCAAAAGATAGGGTATGAGGAAGATACAGTGGAAATATGGAGCCAGAACTGGGAAAACGACTGCTTTTCTAAAGAGTCTGAACTTGAGTTTACATGTCACAGTGTTAAGGAATGAATGAAAAAACGAAGATAATGATTCTAGCTAGGCGGCTATTCCAACAGACTATGTATGGAAATGAAGGCATGATGAACCTCAAAAATGTCATGTCGAGTGAAAAAAACCAGATGCAGACCACATATTGTATGATTCCATTTATATGAAATGTCCAGAAATGGCAAACGTATGGAGACAGAAAGTAGATCAGTGGTTATCTGGGGCTGGGGGTGTTAATGGGGTAGGCACTGCAGATGAGCGGAAGAGGTTTTCCGGCAAAGGAAATATTCCAAGGTTGGATTGTGGTGGTGGTTATACAACTATCTAATTTACTAAAACCACTGAATTGTACCTTTTTTTTTTTTTTTTGAGATGGAGTATCACCCTGTCTCCCAGGCTGGAGTACAGTGGCACGATCTTGGCTCACCGCAAACTCTGCCTCCCAAGTTCAAGTGATTCTCCTGCCTCAGCCTCCCGAGCACCTGGGATTACAGGTGCACACCACTATCCAGCTAATTTTTGTATTTTAGTAGAGACAGGGTTTCACCATGTTGGCTAGGCTGGTCTCGAACTCCTGACCTCAGGTGATCCACCCGCCTCAGCCTCCCAACGTGCTGGGATTACAGGCGTGGGCCACCGTGCCTGGCCTTTTTTTTTTTTTGACACATAGTCCTGCTCTGTCAACCAGGCTGGATTACATTGGTGCAATCTCAGCTTGCTGCAACCTCTGCTTCCCAAGTTCAAGTGATTCTCCTGCCTTAGCCTACTGAATAGCTGGGATTACAGGTGCGTGCCAGCACGCCCGGCTAATTTTTTGTATTTTTTGTAGAGCCAGGGTTTCACCATGTTGGTCAGCTGGTCTCAAACTCCTGACCTCAGGTAATCCCACCTGTCTTGGCCTCTCAAAGTGCTGAGATTACAGGAGTGAGCCACTGCACCCAGCCTGTACCTTTATAACCAAATAAATAGGGGGAAAAGTGAAAGCCTGTACTTGGACAGGGATTTGGGAATGGAAACGGATAAAAAGCATGACTAAAAGAGATGGAACTGACAGGAACACTGAGAGAGATACAGAGATGAAGTGAAGTGATTCAGGTTTCTAGTCTGAAGGACAGGGATGAAGGTGTTATTAAATGGAGAGAAGGAATATAGGCGGTTCAGAATTTAGGCAGTTAAGTGGAAAGGATTAGTTAAGGTTAGGCAAGTACAATTTGGAGGTGTGTGCTGGATATTCACTTGACAATGTCCAATAGGAAGCTGAAATCCCACTAACAAGTTGCTGGTTTCTCATTTCCTTTATCACCTTCACTCAGTGCCGCAATGTGAGTAATGTGAAACCACTGCAATGGACAAGTACCAAGAATGGACAGAATAGCTGTCAAGATACATGTTGAATGTTTTTAGAATGATACACATGGCTGCATGGAGAAAGGATCGGTCGGCTTAGGACATATTTCAACCTACTCTTTAAATAAAAGTGCATTCTAGATTTCACAATGGAAGATTTGAAGAGAAAACAATGGGCTCATTTAATGAGAACTTTTGGTTATACAACAGGTCAGAAATTAATCTACATCAAACTGCAAAGCTAGAATATAACTTGGAAGTGACAGTTACTAATTTAATGAATATTCCCAACTTAATCCTGGCAAAGGCCAAATGGGTAAAAAGGATCCAGAAGATACATCAAACGAATAGGTAATGCTAACACTTAAAAATTTCATAATGCCACGCACGGTAGCTGACGCCTGTAATCCCAGCGTTTTGGGAGGCTGAGGCGGGCAGATTACCTGAGGTCAGGAGTTCGAGACCAGCCTG